GTGTAAGTATTTCCTACTCTCCCACAGAAAAGTGATACTTTAAATCATTGGTTTAATCTGAATTTTTTACTTCAGCTTTGAAATATTTCACTTATTTCAGCAATTTAATTGAAAACTGTTCAACGAACCTCTAAATTTAAAATGTAAAAACTTTCTATAAAATAATATTGGCAATAATATAGTTGCCAACCTAATAAATTTATAAATACATACATGCCATTCAAATATTTATTTGAGAAAAAAAATAATATAAGAATTTAATAAATTAAATAAAGATATTTTATTGTTATTGTTTCTTAAAATAGAAAAGATCTTAAAAGATTTTCACATTAAATGATTGCAAAAATTTCTACATTTTATTTTTGTTCTTTCTTTTATTTTAAAACTTCTTTTAATACATTTAAATTAAATGCATTATCCTTTTCTTGCATTTTTATATCTCTTTTATGTTTATAGATATGTCTATTTTTTTTTTAAACTTAAAATAAATAGTAATAGACGTTAACATCTTATACTGTTTTCTTAAAATATTAAATTTTATTCTTTTATACAAGTTCTTTTAGTGCAACAACAAAAACACTTTATAAATTTATCTTTTATGTAATTGAAGAAAATTCAAGTTAAAATAATGAATATAAAAGGATATTTTTATAATATTTGCAATTACGAATATGTGAATGTATAGGTTCAATTTTGAATTATTTATTTGGAGTGAATAGAGTGTCTAGTATTAAAGAATGGAAAAAGTGTGTATACAGCAATCAAACTGGAATATATAATGAAATCATTTAAAGAAGGAGTTGAAAAATATCTTGACTTTCTTATTGAAACTTAAAATTAATTAGTAATTATTTTGAAATTATAAAATATTTTTTCTTCTTATTTTATATAAGATAATATTAAACTGCAATAAACTGAATATTAAACTGAAAAGCTCTTATTAATTTTTTTTTTAAATTATAAATTAAATTCTATGTAATGAGGTGCCCTAATTAGCTGGAGGACGAATAAGTGTACATCATGTACATTATTATAAAATATTTGCAATCAAAACTGCTTAAAATATGGAAGATTTATTCCAATAACGAAAAATATCAATATTTTAATGGAAAATATTGAAGGACACTTTAGTAAATACAGTTAAAATAAATTTTGTAGTTTTATAAATTGGAAAACTCATTCTTTTGTAAAAATTAATTTTAAAATTGAACAGAAATAGTCATTTTCCATGAAATTCAATAAAATTTTATTTTTATTTTTTTTTTAACCAGAATATTTCTTTTGGATCTAAAAAATTCTGCTAAAACTAGTATTTGACCAAAAATAGTATGTCAATTATATTGTATATGAAAATTTTTATTTAAAATATACTTTTCCATAATGTAAAATAAATATTTCTACTGTTTAGTTCAATAGGTGCATTTAGATAAAAATGCAACAAAAAAATTAAGTCCCTAAATCCCAAGAATAGTCAAATTTCTAAGTTTCAATTATCTTTAAGTGCAACAATAAGAAATTTTACTTTGTACATGTACTCACTCTTGTTAATAATGAAACTCACCTGAAAAGAAAATAAAAATATAATTGTGATTATTAAAATATTTTGCGTCAAAATTTAAAAAAAAAAAGACAAAATACATTGATATTTTAAATTAATTATTAATTTTCGCCCTATTCGGCCGGTTTACATTGCTTTAAGCGTTGAAGAACTTTCACTTCAATTTCAGTCTTTGTTTTTTCATTTTTATATTGAGTTTGCAGAAGAGATATTGTGTGAAATAAATAAGCCTTGAAAAATAGAAGACCAGTGTTAATATGCGGTTTTTAAAATTTGATTATTTTTAAGGAAACGAAATGAAGAAATTTTCTATTATGAGCATTAAATGGGCGAATGTTTACAGCTAAGAGGATTTTTAAATACGTCACCTTTGATTTTCAAATATAATCTAACTTTAATTAAGGTACTTAAGTAATAAATAAATCTTTGTTAACTGTTTACCGTTGAATTAGATTGTTCTTTTCTATTTAAAACTGGTGTTTGCTTTTTAAAATTTGGGTATAACAGTAAGTTTCCGAACGTTGCTGGTGGTTCTGCTAGAATATTTTTAATTTGGGCTAGGAAGATAGAATTGTCCGATCTTTTGGAATCAGATCAATTAATTATTTGGTCTATTTGGATATTAAATTTCACGAATGTCCTGTGTAGGGGTTGACGAAATTAGTGACTTTTTCTGCATTTTGCTTATTTTTTGAAGTAGTTCTATTTTTAGAAGTGCATGCCGAAGATTATCTTCCATTGTGAGAATTTGCACTTCATAATCAATAATATTCAAGGGGCAAAAATCATTTCTGGAATTGCTGCTGGTAGATGGAAGAGACCAAGTTCTCGAAAAGCAATATAAAATTTTACATTAAAATTTGGATATAAAAGCAAACTATATTTTAATGAGAAATCGAACGGCAAGAATGATAAATAATGTACGCAACGTTACCCATTTAATTGATAATTAAAATTTCCTAATTTAATAATAACTAAACTTAAGTTAAATTCGAATCCAATTAGTAAAATCATGAAGGCAATTAGTAATCGAATATACTAATTAGCATGTGTTTATATAAATTTTATACAATACAAAATTTACTAAGTCTATAAGTAAAATACAAGGTCAAAAGACACAAAAAAATTATAAAATATTAAAAATCCCAGAATTATTTAACATTAAATTCCACTTAACCGCTATTAATATTTACTAAGTATCACAACCTAATGCTCTACTTTCCACAACATATTCTATATCAAAAGTGTCATTTACAATAAATATTTTACTAAATAATAAACTTCGATTTTATATATGTACAAAATAAACTTTTCCTTTTCATAAAAAGAAATCAAAAACCTTTATCAAAATCTCTGCTGAAAAATGTCAAAATTTGAATTAAGTTTGATTGATTCGGCTGCTCTTTTACATCAATATATTTTAGCATGATAAAAAAAAATGTACACATTTCTTAAGGTATCATGCAATTACTTTGACTTTTCGAACGTTTCTTTGATTTTTTTCATTTCTTGTGAAAGTTTTGAATACTGTTGGGAGTGTAGGAGGATTTTTAGAAAAAGTTTTAAATGTTAGCTATTTTTAAAACTAAATACGATAATTAAATACCAGAAAGTTATTAGATGTGAACTCCAATAGAAATTAAAAAATTTGGACCAAAAGTAAATTTAATAAAAAGTTCATTTTCATGACTATTAAGAAAAAAAACTCCATTGTGTAGGTTCGCGAATATTACCATTCAGTATTTTTACAACTTTTTAATTTTAATACACTTTTTAATACACACTTATAAATAATCTTGATGACCTTAGATACTTTTCCAAAAATTTTTGCTCTCCAAATTTTATTCTTAAATTTTGAATCTTATAGTTGAACTCGTGTTTACATAATTTGTTTGAATTTCAAATTTTATTTTCCTCTTTTTTTCACGAACAAAATTTGTAACTTTTAATTTTTGATTGTTAGTGCGGTGGCAGTAAAATACAGAGAAATTTAAAATTTTATTTTCTTCATAATATCTTCATCAATCTCTATTTGCATATGAAAATTTTTAAAATGTCATTTAAATAAGTATTTTCTGCTTAATAAATTTGAAAATTTCTCAAATAGAATTTATAGGAGAAATTTAAAAAAAGAAATTATTTAAGAAAAAAATTTAAGAAATATACTGGCTAGGTGTAGCTCAACTATGGCCATTTCTTTCGTGGTAATAATATATAGAGACTATTTATCTTGCGCTGACAGCACGTGAAAAGTCCTGTTCATATGCGGGATTGCAAGAATGATGTGGCCAAAATACGAACTTAAACAATCGAATGGACTCCTGGTGTTATCCTGGCAATGCTTGTCTGGCGGCTGACGGCAGTTTACACTGGCTGTTGCGGGAGCATGCTAGGCTGTGATGGCCCTTCAACACAACGTGTCACAGCTGCCCTTTAATGGACAGGAAGGAGATCATTTTCCAATATCTCTGCGAGTGTCCGACTCTGCGCGGAGATAGATTGGTCACGTGTTGCACAGCATGTGTGCCGAGGCTGGATGAAGTATGGAAGATTAGCATATGAGATTTAGATAGTTTCCTCAAGAGATTGGGATGGCTTAGATAGGCTACCGCAATCGTACGCTCAATAACGGCCTAGTACTCACGGAGTAGTAGTAGCAAACTGGCAAATTTGTGCTAATATATTCAGAATAGTTTACAGAATAACCAATTACAATTCAATCTCAAATTATTTATTTAATTAATGCTTCGCATTGCCGAAGAACAAAATAAAACTACATATCATATAAATCAATTGGGAAAACAGTGCATAATTTTTTTGTTAAATTCTACTTAAATTTAGAAATTTGTATTGGTCGAGCTTAAGTAGAATTTTATAAACTTATGACCGCACCTTAAAAAAAAAATATTAAAAAACCCCCAGTGACATTTTTCATTTTTATTTTAGAGGCAAATTAATTTAATTACTGCAAGAGTAACTCGTTTAACAAATTATGTTGTTCTTTTTTGTTGCGGAATTTATGGTTTCTTGCAACTTCCGTTGCTTTTCAAAATAAAACCGTGTCTTTACTTGTATATGAAACCTTCCTGAATTGCAAATAATTTTTCGTTTTTTTTTTCAAATTTTTTATATCCACCCTCACCAGTTAAACTTAACTTCTGTTTTTTGCAAATTAACCAGAAAATTTGTTCCAGGGAATCAATTAATATTTTGTTTTACAATAAAAATTAAAAAGTATGCTGTAACGAACTGTAAAAACTTTCATAAATTTCGAAATTTTCAGTTTATTTTTAATTTCTTAACTAAATTTATAAAATATTTATGCAAATATGTATATGCGAGTATATATGTAGATTTAATAAATTATGTAAATTAATAAGTGTACACGTATGTCGATAATATATATGTATACAATAATGTGTGTAAATAATAATTTACATACCCATGGACCACCTTGATCCCAATATCCTTCCGTAATACCATCAGCCCATTGTGATTCTAATGGTAATTCTGGTTCTGGTGGCCAATCAGATAATTTTGTTGGCTCTGTTAGTGTTTGCTCCCCTTGGGGGCAACCTAAAACAGACTGAGGGCAACCTATGTTGATGCAATAATTTTTGTAATTTTTTCAATGAAGTTTTTTAAAAAGAATTAAGACGAGCAACAAAATAAAAACAAAAAAGTCAAAACAAGAATAAATAAAGAGAGAGAGTAAAAAAATTTTAGGAAAAAAAATAACACTGGGGTGAGTTCTCTCTTCTTCTTTTTCTTTTTTTGTTTATTTTATTTATTTTGTTTATTTTTTTTCTGTGTATTCGTTAATTCTGCTTATTTATTATTCCTTTCGCCAGTGAACTTGATCAGCCGAAGTAAGGAAAAAAAAAACACCACGGTAATTTTTTTTTTTTTGTTATCCTGGAAGTTTTTTGTTTTCACTTTTTCTTTTGTTATACTACTGTGCTTTAGCGATTTTTTGTTAGCTTTATATTAAGAATAAAGGTAACTGGAGTAATGATAACAAAAATAATAATAATTTTTATTTGCACAAGAAAAATACCGTTAAATAAATTTCCGGTAATATTTTTACATTTTTGTTAATTTCTTTTTTTTTTTGTACTTTTTTTTTATTCACTCACTTTTGTTTAATTTTTTCTTTTTTGGGTCTTTAGCGCTTGTTTTTTTTTCTGGTATGGGTGTAAGTAATTAAACAAACAAGGATACTCCAAATGTATTTGTATAACCTAGGTTATGGGCAAATAAAAAATATTACAGTTTACAACTTTTTTTCAATTTTTCTTATTTTTCCATATTTCACTTCACTTTTTATTAAACTGTTATACTCGTATTACGTTATGTATAATATTGTTTATTTATTTACATTTGAAAATTTTACATAAATATTAAATATTTTTATGCACTTTTATTTTAATAAAATATTTTCGAAATATCCTTTTTTTAATTTTTGATTAACAAAAAAATATTTTTTTCTTCTTTTATTCATTTTTATATGATTAAAATTAAATGTACATAAAATTCATAGCCTTTTGATAAAAAGAGAAAAGAGAAAACTAAATTTAATACAAAAACTGAGAACAAATGAAATATTTTTTTTGAAATTTATTGAATATTTATAATGTATTGTTGGTTTAATTTTCGAAGACAAGATAACGGAGACACGTTGCTTGATTTTTTATTAAAATGACATTTTCCACTTTAAATCCTTTAATTCTGGTTTTCTCAGTCATACATAATTATATAATATATTAATATTAAAAATAGAAAAATTAATAAGATTACTTAAAGCAATAAAGATGCTTAAGATTTCTAAAAACAAAAAATCAGAATTTAATAATGTGAATTAAATGATGTAAAGTGGAAAATGTGTTTTTGATAAAAGGGCAAGATGTCTTCTGTTTTTCGTTCTGTTTTCAAAATGTAATCAGATCAAACCTAAAATAAAGTTATCTGTATAATAAAATAAAAATACTGTAATTTATTAACAGTATAACAAATATCTGAATTTTTTAGTTTCAACCTGTAGAATTGATATTTTCAGCTATAAATTTGTAAATTTTATAGTTACAGATTCTGTATAAATGCTTTAAGCTTTAACTTACAACATTTTCGAGCATTTCATGCGTAATTATGTGAATACAGATAGACGTCATATATCATTTTCATATACAAAATATTATATGCACGTTTTTATTATACAGTTTTAATACCATATTTATACAATTTTCATGCTAATTTAAAAATGCTTGTGTATCTGGTTGATTTATTTTCATGTTATAAATATTAAAATGAGCTAAAAACGATTGCTTATAAGAAAAGTGAAAATATTTAGTTTTTGCTCTTATTACGGTACAATACTATAACAAAAGTATAAAATTTAGGCACTTTTTTCTTTGTTTTCCATTAAATAAATTTGATTTGAATATTTGGAGACGCTCAAAAATAGAATACTTATCTTACAAAAAATTACTGAAAGTTATTTAAAGAGCAGTAAAAGTCGCAAATTAAATATAAATATTTAGTAGAAAATTGTATGATTTAAGGAGTTTGCATATTGCATGCCCTTATAATATTAAATAATTCAAAATAGTTTTCCTGGACCTTGGTAAATTACAAATTATTACTGGTTATTTAAAAAGACATAAAAGCATATTATAGAATATAAAAATTTTTATATTGCAGACTTTTTATTTCATAGAAATAATAATGCACCCAATAATTTAAAAGGTCGTATAACAGATTTATCATTCGGCCTCTCTCGTACAGCATTTATTCGTTATTCACGAACTATTAATTTTTTTTTAAATTTTTCTCATTTCGGATCGCTTTTATTAATAAAACTTTTAAAAATATTTTATTAGCATTTGGAACCTTTATATTAATAATTTTTAGATTTATCATATTAAATTTCATTGTCCGCCTGCTTTGATTAAAGTTAGAAATATAAGGGAAGCTTCAATCCTGGAAGGACTTGAATGAATTTTATACAATATAAATCCATAAACCATGTTTAAATTTTTTGAAATTTATAACGGGCTGTTTAAAATTATCAACTCTTGCCTGTCCGTAGTAGGTTTAACTCCACAAATCTATAACACTTACTTAATAAATACATAAGTTATGTTGAAGATTTTTATTTAAAAAATTGCTACGAAAATTTCAATAAAAACCATGAAAGCATTTTACGATGCCATCTACATATATTGAATTTAAATATTTTTGCAAGTACACAATTAAGTCACTCTTCTTTGCTTGTTAGTGTCACTTTGTCTCCAATATTTGTTTGTACATGAATACAGACATCTATATTTTAATAAAACATGAGCGTTAAAATAACAGAACTTTTTTACTTTTGATAAAAGAATTCTAATTCATTCTCTTTTTTTTTATGCAAATATTATCGGAAATAATTCTCTCATACTCTATTTTATTTCTGTTTTCTGTTGAATATGCGTAAGCATACGTTTAAACATTTGCATATCTCCCTTTGTTAATTCTTACATTTTTATGCGTATAGGTTAGTGTGTCTCTTTAAGTATGCACACATGTTTGTATGTAAAAATTTATTCTTGTAATAAAAGAGAACAAATGTTTTAGCCTTTATTGATTTAAATTATTCTTGCTTTTTTTACTTTTTTTGTTTTTTTTTTGATTTGAATCAAAACAAATATTGACATTTATAAGGAAAACAAATTTTTTCTGTCAGCTATATTTGCCCTAATTTTTTTGAATGTGTATGTCGCTAGGTTATAAATAGTCCAAATTTTTTTTTTAAATATATTTTTAACTTTACAGATTGATTTAACAAAATTAGAATTCTCTAGAATATTTTAAAATAATTTTAATACTTCTCTATTATTTCGTCTCTCAAAATTAGTGACTTACTCAAAATAAGTAAAATTTAGAATTTCGAAAATTCTTTAATTATATTCTCCTCAGCAGAAAATATAACAAAATAATTTAAATGATCCAATTGATCATGCAATTCCATTAATTTGTTACAACCCTCATCCTAAACATATGCAAAATTATTTGATATCTTATTTGGTATTTGATTTCTTAAAAAAAAAGGTGTTTTAATTTTAAATTGAAATGTTGCTGGACAAACCAATAATTTGGTTTGAAATTACTGTTTTGTAGTAATCATAAGGGCGCAGATAAGTTACTGAATTATATGATTTCACTTTTACAGTAAATCATACTCTTTTGTAATCAAAATGTTAATTTTTTTGTTTTTAAAAAACTAAGGAGCATTTCGAGATATTTGTTGTAAAGTCATAAAATCGACTAATTTTTATATTTTGTTGTTGGAATTCAAAAAAAACCTTCATCTTATTTTGATGCTATCAACTAAAACTAAATGCATCACAAAATTTTTTAATTGGTTAACACCCTGTTAAATTTAAAAATTTTTATTCAAGACAAAATGGAAACAAAAGGACAATAAAGGAAAACTGAATTTTCCTGAATTTTTGTTCTTTTTTTTACATTTTGAATTTTTTTAAAGACTTTTTATTTTTATTACGTTTTATACATAGCGATAATTTTATACGGGCAATGCAAATATTGGATTTCGTAATGGATGCACATTTATACAATGTGCGAAAGGTAAACTCTTTTTTTTTCCTTTATGCTCCTTTTTTTGAATATACATGTATGTATTTCGTGCTTGTTCCATTTTAAGATTTTTATCAATTTCACTTTATGAAATTTTGGAAATTCTATATAGGACATGTTTAGATCATATAACAGGTAGATATAAACTTGCACTTTAAGTATATTTTAAAGTTTACAAAAAAGAAAATTTTTTGTTCACTCTATGCCAATATTGTTGAATACCCTATAATGTAAAATGATTATGAGAAAACTAAAATACAAAATTACTAAATGAAATTTGAATGTTAAAAGTGATTATAGCAAAAATGTTTGCATAGAAATTCGGAAATTTCAGAGTTTGGTAATTTAATTTTTAGTAATCTGCTCAATGAAACAAAGGTCTTAAATTATATTTTAATAATTTATTCCATTTAATCAATTATTGTTAGAGACGGTTGCCAGACTTGCATTAAATTATTACAAAATTTTCTTTTAACATTGTACATTTCGTTACTCCTATAAGTGTAGGGTATAATAATAAAAAAATTAAATATTTTTTTTTTTGAGTTTTTTTATGACAATAATTTCAGTATGGTGCAAGATAAATAATCGATTTTTTTATTTTTTCTTTTTTTGTTAAAAATTGTGATTGATAGCTACCATTTTTTCTTTAATTTTCTTTTTTTGTAAAATGAAGAAAAAACTATAAAAAATAAATAAATAAATTATCCTTTAAGTGTTTTAACTAATAGCTTGGCATCGATTTTTGTAGAAAGGGTTTAATATTGTTATATCTTTAGATTATTACAGAAGGGTTTCTCTTAAGTGTAATTGATGCTCGATTGCAGTTTTACATAGTTTATTGTTTTATTATATGTAATATAGAAATTATTAAGTCATATTATAGATTTATTGTGAGTTGCATTCAATTTTATTACAAATTCCATTGATAGCTTATGCAAGTTGAAATTATGTTTTTGAATTTAGAATGTTAAAATTTTAATTTCTTAC